AGGCATATTATTTTTATAACTACAATCATCTGATGAGTATGAACCAAAACTTATATTGAAACAGAGTCAAATGATCAATAACTTGGGAATTTAATATGTGTATCTTTTTACCAAGTGTGCAGCATTTTGATCATTGGAAAAAAAGGATTCTTTTCTAATTAATCACCATAGCGATATTTTAAGCAATACTCATAGCACTTCCTTGGGGAATTTTTTGCTCCAGTACAAGACTCAGTTTCCCAATCGGCTGTCATGGCTGACTTAAAGGCTGATAACAGAGATTCACTTACCTGCCAATACTGTTTAATAGAAGGTAACTACAAGTTTTCTTCTCATAGGACCTATTTCAGAAAATGATAGAGGTGGATCCCAGGGAACCTACTGAGGAGGAGAAAAGAGAGGGAGGAATAACAAAACCTCGTTATATGAAGTGGAGAGAGCAGCTCTCTTCAACATCAAGTCTGGGCTTTAGGATTGAAGGAATTAAGGTTAGATCAGCCTCTAACTTCTCCTTACAGAATCAATATTGTGAACTGAAGTGTAAATGAGTATTAAAAATTATTTTATGTATATTTGCCACCAAATTCTTAGAGTAACATGTAAAAAACAGTGAAACTAATCATTATTATTACTTTGGTTAACATGGTTTTGTACTCATCGACACAAACATCTTTATTTCTCAGCACAAATTTGTTTTTAATTCCCCCATAGAAAGGTGATCAAAAACCCAACAAAGATTTTAAGAAAACAAGAACAAAAGAAGATGTACATGAAGTTTTTACCGAATTTATTGGTAATGACGAGCAATTAAGAGTAAGTGTTATTTATTTCTATGCACTGGAAGTTTTTGATTTTCTACTTTTGTTCTTCTCAATTCCTTATGATCTCAGTTTTTACTGTAATATGCACTTAACATGCGGGTCTAGAAAATATTCCTACCCACACCAAGGATGGTCATCGGAAATTTGAAGGAGGTGGTTGGTCTCAATAGCCAAATTTGTAAAGGGAAAGTATGAAGCTAAATTGGAAATTCCCGGGGGAGAGGGGGGAGAACGCAAGTAACCCTCCTTGGGGGAGTTATGGATATTTTGTGGAACCACATAATACATGACTGTATGATTTTTAATAGGTTCTATGATGCAGGCCTTGTGTCAAACAGACAGACACCTTGATTTGAACTTGAGTTGCCTGGCTAGGTCAGTCACTGGCAATACATTTCACTTCTTTATGTTTTTCTTTGTACAGAAAAAGTATCTAAGAAGACTCAAGGCCATAAGAGCAACTCTGGAGTCCTCACCATTCTTTCGCACCCACGAAGTGAGTGGTGAAAATAATAACTGCGTTATAATTAAAAATAACTTTAGTAGATTATGCATGTAATATTGATAATAAATCTTACAACATTTGCTACCCTACTGAGAAATGTAGCTAGAGTCAAATCTGTAAGATCCACAGTGAAAATTCTAATTCAACTAGTGTTTGCGATTTTCTTTAGCTGCCTTCAGTGTTTTTGTGTTACTTTATAACAAAATTGTACTAAGTGTTTTTTGCTACTACCCTAATGATCAAACAGTGAATGTGAATTTCGCAGATTTGTAGTGAACATATTTAAGTGTGCAGTCAGTGTGTAAACAAAGGCATGTCTTAATAGTCTGGGCTTTTAGAGTTTGTGGTCAATTTCATGTAATGGGTCTATTCTTTGCTTGCCTGATGTGCAACTTGAGGGTTTTTGGAAACATTTTTCAAGAAATTGGAGTTGCAGTAGTCCAGTAGAGAGATGGAATGATATAGTGTAGTTGTTATTTTAAGTTTAATTGCAAATTAATCAATATATGCTAGTGAATACTTTTTGGTAGCAAGGGGCTAGTAAAAGAAAAATTTTCAACTACTGCATACCATTTACAGTTTGTACCCTGGAAATGGGAGGTTATTAGGTGCAAAGTAACCAAGAAAATGTTTCAATATCCACAGCTGGTGCAGTAGTAGTTCTGCTTGACCTAACAAATTGCTTTCAACTAACCAATGTAATTGCTGTATTCCAGGTGGTTGGTAGCTCTCTGTTATTTGTTCATGACGAAGATGGCCGAGCCAGTGTGTGGATGATTGATTTTGGAAAGACTGTGCCACTTCAGGACGGCATGTGGTTAGATCACAGAACACCATGGGAGGAAGGAAACCACGAGGATGGCTATTTATGGGGGCTTGACAACATGGTGGATATCTGGTCACAAAGATGATCTTCACCTAGTAGGAACTAATTCATTTTTTATTGGAAGTCCCTTTTTTAAATAGAAAGAGAAAACAGAACAAACTATTTGGACCAATTTTACTTAATGCTTATAACAGTGCAATCAAAATAATGTTGACAGGTGAATGTTGGCTTCAATCTGCATGTACAAACCTGTACAGTAGGGCGATCTTCCTTTGTCCGTGAACTTTAAACTCCATGTTTGCATACATGTTAAGTTATCAAAATACATCTTTTAGTCTCGCTAGCTGAATCAAGTAAACCCATATCATTATACATGCAGTGAATATTTAACAATCCTGCCCTTTAGTAAATGTGACAAGTATAAATTAAAGTAATATGTTTAATGACTGAGATATTTTCTTTTAATTTCATACAAAGAAGTAAAATTGGTGGATTGGCAACTGGTTGCCTATTCCTCTTACACAGCTTAACAGCCATGATCTATAACTGCTGCAAATGCACTGGTTTCTCATATTTTCTTGTAAGCATGGTATAATAACTATATGTAAGTGTACCATGCTCCTTTCAGACATACTTTGTTCTATATTTTGAGGGGTTAAAATTTCTCAGTACTAGATTTATGAAGATCGCCCTATGGTGTGAAATAAATAATGCTATTTAAGGTCATCTTTGAATTACTTTGTTGTCTTCCAAATCACTATACATGCAAGTAGATACAGTATGTTTTAAATGTCATTCCATTTTGTGGCTCACATGGCATGTAACAAGTTTCAATTTGTGGCACTGAAATCCAAGATTTTTTGCCAAATGCATAATTAGGGCTCAGCTGAGATAAACATACTTTGTACAAAGGACAAATTGTAGCATTGAAGCTTCTCAGAGTGATTAACATTCAATTTCCCCTAAGAATATAGTTATATAGCCTTTTTGAGAGAGGTTACACTTGTCCCACAAAAGCATAAAAGCGTATATGGCAACTAAAACTAGCCATTAAGAATGCCTTTTGGCTTTGTTGCACAAGCTTCTATGCTTCTGTGGGAGAACCTTTCTCTAAACAGCTGTAAAAACACTTTCACTTAGAAAGGCAATAAGAATAAAGAAAATCTTAGTGGTAGTTGTAATTGTACCTTTATGATGCAATTCAGCAAAGAATTTGTTTAAGTTGCTTAATTTGAGATTGTCATACATATACAGTGGAGTCCCAATTTCTCAAAATGTCATTTTTTCAAACCTCCCTATAACTTTAACCAAAAGTTGTTTCCCTCTGACCTCAGTCGAACACTGTAATTTTACCTCCGATTTCTAGAACTATGTGATTTTTTGAACCAATTTTCATTTCTCTTGGAGGTTCAAAATATTGGGATTCCACTGTATGTACAAATTGGTATCAAGAATACAATCATCTTCACGTGTAACCCCAGGTGTGAAGTCATACCATGCAGTTGAACGTTTTAGAAAATATTCCAGAGCCTGTCATGTAGAATTCTGTTTTAGTGTATTATAATAACAATAAATTATTAGACAAGCCTGACGTTTCTATGAGCAAATAGTTAACTATCGCTCATAGAAAAGGAGGGCAAGTAGTGTAATTGTTATAGTAGGCACTCTAAAGGATTACAGCACAAAACCTACAATTTTGTGTATTTTTAAAATTTTAAGATTCAGAATAACTTTTAGTTTCAAGAGCAGCATGCAGGATCATTGTCTATCAGCGAATAGAAAACAGTGGGACAGCAAATCAGATTTTCAGATTCCCAATAGAGAATATCTGAGTGGCTACTAATAATTATTATAAGGAACTTGAATTGCTCTACTGTTAACACTTCCAATGGTATGTGGGATTTATAGTTTTAAATGTAGTGAGTTTAAATTTTAGAGTTTCGAAACTTCACCTCTCTCTACAAACGATTTGCTGTAAAGAGAAAATATCCATTCATTGAACATTGAAACAGTCTGTTGGTTTCAATCAGTGGGTTTGAAGAACAGCAATAAATCATACATGATAAGGACTGGATATTCTCTCAGTATGGTCCTGAGTAAGCTTGGCTTGTAAGAGTGTGATGTTCATTGATATCATCTTTCATATGATCTTACATGTAGCAATGCATGGTCTTGTTTATTATTTCCTAAGACCTTTTCTTTTTCTACCTTCAAACATTACTGAGGAGTTATTTTCGATTGAAAGTTGATTTTGTACATCATAGAAAAACTTACCAGAAGAAAGGTGCAACATTACTCCTTAACAGAGGTGGAGTGAATTTTCATCCAACAAAACTCAAACTTGCAGTCTAAAGTAATGGCTATATTGCTGATAATAACTGCTGACCACATTTGCAAAAGACCATGCAATTCTTTCACACAGACAAGGAATTTGTAAATACTATGCTACAAAGTGAAAGGTAATACTCAGTTACATTGTATATATTATTCCGTTAACCTCAAAATTCAGGGCTTTTTTTAGTCCATTTTTTGTTACCTCAATTGAATGTTTAGTTACTGCCATCATGTAACTTGTACCATTAAACATTTTGTATAAAATTGCTTTGTCTCACTTTTTTTATCGTGATTATGGTAGCTGTCATTATATTGCGTGGATAATACATGGACTGTGATGCAATGGCCAGTTTTAAGAGGCTAAATGTAATTTAGACAAATTAAGTCTTGAGGCAATGCGGTCAGTGGTCACCCCGTTTGCATACGTGTCCTGTGGGATGACCTAATAGTTTGCAGCTCGCCTCATGATCTGCATACATTTTGTCACATGACAGCTGATCTTTGTGGATCATTTGCATGTTGAGCTGATCTTTGCAGATCTCTGGCTGCGGATGTTTTAGCAACAGCTTATCTTTCTGTGAATTGTTGCAGATTCTTGCCCCCAGCCCTCCCAACCTCATGGTTCAGGGGTGCTTCCTACAGACTAATAAAAGCAATAAACAGTAATATTAACCTGATTTTCAGTCTGTACTGTAAGATATGGATCCTTGTTTGGCCAACCAATCTATGGCCACATGTTTAAGAAACTGACGTGACCTCTAATTGACCAATTAGAGTAGCAGGTGGAAAAAGTCACCATGTTCTTAAAACTTCAACTGACTTGAAAGGATTTGAAATTGCCACGGGATACCATGTTTGTGTAGAACAGAGCTTCAAAAAGTTTAAAACAGCCTCTTTATGTCCTATCTGGCATCTCCATACCCACTCAGAGACCCTCCTTCTACTCCACCCACAATTGCAACTTATGCACCTTACCCCTCCCTTACAATGGCCTGCAAGTAGGTTTCCATGAGCTGCAGCACAAGTGGTAAAGCTACATGAAAAGGCTGGCATGCAGACCAAGCCAACAAGAATGAAAGCCTCTCATTTCTTGTGCTAGGCCTTTGCTCACCAACCCATCTCACATCTTCGCTGCTTGTGCTGCAGCACACGAGAGCCTGCTCACAGGCTTCTGTTACTGCAAACAAAGAAACAAGAATCTAGCCCTGGCTGATCAAATGATGGATGATGCTATCCACAAGGGCTCATTTGTTATAAATGTTGAACAGTGCTATCCATATTTCACTCTCAGTGCAATTCAATTAATAAACTTAATGAAAGTTGCCTGGTGGATAGTGATTTAAGTTCTAATCACAGGAACTGGGTACATAATAGTCACACAAGGTATAAAATATAACTTCAGAGGAACATAGAAACTGAAAAGAACTTAGGATGGTTAAAACTGGGCCAGATTGAAATAAAAATGCTAAACTTTCTGCTAAAAATCTATGCCAAATTTTCCAAGATGGACCGTTGTGACATAGCTACTTAAGTGTATAGGTACTTTAGTGTAATGCACTCTGAACAACTGGCGTGAGATAAATCAGTTTCCTGTTGACAGCTTTACCTGATTTTGATTTATCATGCGGATCACATTGCCCACCCTTTGAACAACCAAGGCCTGGACATAGCANCGTTGATCAGGCAAATAGCTGACATAAACACTCACAAACTCATTCCAGCAACTTGATGAAGAGCTCGAGTGCTTTGCAGTTTGGGACCTCCAGCTGAAATTATTAAAATTTGAAAGCGGTGATTTTCAAACTGAAGATCAAATAAGCTTATTCTGATGCACGTGCGAAAAATTAAAAGCTTGTCTTTACTTCAAATTTTGTTTGGATATGTCATACCTTGTGATGCAATCCGTCCACATTGAGAACTTGTCGCCTTCAAAAGGAAACAAAAATTTAAACATATGAACGTGTCATAAACAAAGATGACAAACAATTTACCTGTAAAATCACACGAGAAGCTCCTCGTAAAGATCGACCAGCTAAAGACGCCATTTTGTTTTTCTAACCGTACCAGCTCATCCCGGTCGTTATTGGAGTTGAGGACTGGATCGAGTAGTCCAAGTAAACATAATTTACCGGGCGCCATCTTTGATTTTGATCTCAAACAAAAAAGAGAAAACTACCTGTTTTTAACAATGCTTGAGATATCTGAAGATGTCGATTTGGCCTACGCACTCAGCTTGCAAGAGGAACTCGATCAAGAACAGAAAAACGGGGAATCAAACTATTTTAAAGCCGCAATTCCTTTTACTTCTAGTAAGAACGTAGCCCCTGTTTCAGTTGTGGATGAATCGTGGGAACTTATTGATCCTATTCCCGATATACGGCAGTTATTTCTTCAATTTAACGACGTCTACTTTAAAGGACTTTTAGGCTCCGTTGAAGTGAAGTGGAGCCCACGAATGACATTGTAAGTGAGGCTAGCTTATTCTATTGTGTTTTGTTAATTAATGTAAGGTTTGCTAGCGAAGCTGCCAAATTTTGGCGGCAAATACAAATTTAAGAGATTCATGTACGTCACTTGCATGTATAATCTTAACTGCATTTAGGCATATCTTAAACCCTTTTTCCTTGTCTAATTTACTTTTTGTTGTTCTTACCTCACCCTCTTGGCCTTCCCAATCTCCTAAATATCCATAAGGAGTTCAGGGGTGCTTACCATTTACAGAAACCATCCGGTTGGAAATTTCAGG